GAGCCTGGGGGCTGAGAGGCTGAAGGCCCGACCACCGATGGTAGGGCGGTTGGGGCGGGGGATATGGAGCAGACCGGAGCCAGAGGAATGGAAGGTACAGGCAGGTAGGTAGGGGGATAGTAGGACGGAGAGGTAGGAGGGAGCAAGGCCATGAATGGCCTTGTAGGTGAGGGTGAGGATCTTGAATTCGATCCTCTGGGGGATGGGGAGCCAGTGGAGGCGAGTGAGGGTGGGAGTGATGTGGTCCCGAAGCCTGGTGCGGGACAGTACACGAGCTGCAGAGTTCTGAATGACCTGCAGTGTGGAGGGAGGTGCCGGGAAGGCCGGCGAGGAGAGAATTCCCATAGTCCAGCCTTGAGGTGATAAAGGCATGGACCAGAGTTTCAGCAGCGTGAGGGGTGAGGTAGTGCCGTAGTCTGGCGACATTCCGGAGGTGATGGAAGGCGGTGCCAGTTGTGGCGCGGATATGAGGGAGAAAGGACAGCTCAGGGTCGAACAGAACCCCGAGGTTCCTGACTGCTTTGAGAGGTGGAGAGTGCAGCCTTGGATGCTGATGCTGTCAGCGCCTGAGGTGCGGAGGCGCTGACACGAGCAAACAAATGGAAGGTAAAATGGCTGTGAGTCACAAGTACATTGTCACATTATTTAGTAGCCAACAACAACAACTCGGATTTATGTAGCACCCTCCACGCCGGACGGGTCTCAGAGCGCTTTAGAGTAACGGATCCCTGCGCCGAGCCAGGTGATGGGGAGGAAGGTGACCAAAGGTGCAGACGAAGAGAAAGGTCTGCAGCAGAGACCTGAAAATAGGAAGAGGGAGCGAGGCGAAGGGAGCGAGGAAGGAAATTCCAGAGCCTCAGGGCATAGTGGCTGAAGGCACGGCCGCCGAGGGTGGAGTGGAGGACTCAGGGGACGAGGAGAGGCCAGACCCGGAGGAACGAAGGCAATGGGTACTGTTTTGAGGAGAGAGGTAGGGGGGTACAGAGGAGTGGAGGGATTTGAATACAAGGGTCAGGTCTTGAGTCGATCCTCTCTGAGACAGGCATCCAGTGCAGTCTGGCAAGGACTGGGGTGATCGGGAAGCAGAGTTCGGTGTGGGTGAGAATGCAGGCGGCAGAGTTTTGAATGATCTGGATTTTATGGATGGTAGATGGGAGACCAGTGAGGAGGGTATTAAATAGTCCAGCCAAGAGGTGACAAAGGCATGTACTAGGGTTTCAGCGGCTTTCGGAGAGAGGTATTGGCGGAGGCGGGCGAGGCGTCGGAGGTGGAAGAAAGCGGTGCTGGTGAGGGACTGGATGTGGGGTAGGAAGGATAATTGGGGTTCGAGCCTGATACCTAGGTTGCGTACGGATTCGGAGAGTTTTAGGGGGAGGTCGGGTTGGTGGAGGAGGTGAGAGCTGTGAGATTTTAGACGTTGACGAGAGCCAGAGTATGGCTTCCATCTTGTCAACGTTCAGCTGAAGGAAATTTGTGCTCGTCCAGCCCCTGAGATCTGACAGGCAGGCTGACAAAACATCAGGGGACTCGGGGTCGCTAAGAAAGATGGAAAAATAGAGTTGGGTATCATCTGCATACTTGTGGAAATGTACCCCATGTCTGCGGATGACATCCCCAAGAGGGAGCATGTAGATCAGAAAGAGGAGGGGGCCAAGGATGGATCCTTGGGGTACCTCGCAGGTGACCGGGTGAGAGCGGGAGGAGAAACCATTTGTGCAGGTGTACTGCTGGCGGTTTGTGAGGTAGGACTCGAACCAGGCGAGTGCGGTCCCACTGAGGTGGATGACGGAGGAAAAGCGGTGGAGGAGGATGGCTTGATTGACTGTGTTGAACGCCGTGGAGAGGTCCAGCAGGACAAGGAGGCAGAGAGAGCCCTGGTCACAGATAGAGAGCCAAAGGTGAAAGATACTCATTTTAGCAGCTTAGTGAAATGTTCACAAAATTGTTTTTTGTTGGAAGTCTGGTAAATTTCAAAATCTTAAGCTGAAATTGAACCTTGACCAAAAGGGACATTAAAAAAAGCACTACTAGTCAATGTCTTAAATTCTGTACACTGTCCAGCACCTTGGGACGCCCTCCCGACATGAAGGTGCTATACAAATGTAATCTTATTGTTGTCGTCAGTTTAATTTGTTGACATTATTAAAGTGATTTCAGCATCTGAGAGACTGATCTAACTGTGAAAATGTGCAAAGTATTCATCTTAATTTATTTTGTATGTATTAGAAAGGCAATGCAACTGGAGTTGTTACCAATTTAATTATTTTCTCTATCAGTGTGATGTTATGAAGACATAAAATAACAAACCTGTTTAAAGGTAAATGCAGTAAGAAAAGTTTGGGAGTTTGAAAACTACTGTGAACATTTTGATTTCGAACTTCAGATTGTAATAGCACTAACTACTTCCAGTGCACATTTAAGAGTGTTGGGCAACATTTTAATCTTACCTTGGTGTACATAAGAAAATATCATGTGCAGAAAATAGTGTAGAAAATATCAAGCTCCGTTTTATCCTTGGTTTAGAAAGAAATGGTGAAGACAGAATGTTTTAAGCCAGTAGATAATGCATGGATACTATAGTTGTACCTTAGCATACTGTAGTGAGACCCCAGTGAGCAATTTGGATTCACCAAGAGTTAACTACTCCTGCAAGTTCTATGTGAGCAAATTATACACTTATAGAGCAAATTTAAAAATCAGGTTTTGCTTTTTACATAAATGTTTTATCAGGTCTTATATGACTGTTTGTGGGATACTGCTGTGCACAATTGGCTGCCAGATTTTGTCCACAAAATACAGCCAATTCACTTTACAATATAATAATCCTTGCATTTGATATAGCACTTTTCACATCTTCTAGATGTTCCAAAGCACTTCACACAATATACTGTAAAGTGAATTGACTGTATATTTGTGCGCAAATGCAGCAGCACACAGCAGTGTCCCAAAAACAGTCGTAGATTGAAAATAACCAATTTATTGTTTTTTGTTTTGGAGGGATTATTATTAGGCATGTGGAATAAGGAAACTTGTCCAAGGTTTCACCCTGACTGGAATTGAACTCGGGTCTCTCACTTGCAAAGCGAGTGCTCTAACCACTGAGCTACAGGACTCCACATATATTCTGTGAAATGCTTTTAGAAGTTTGGAAGACTTTCTAAGGCACCCTATCAAATGAAAGGATTATTATTTTTATTAATTTGTCATTTGTGGGAGGTGATTTCAGATTGTGAAATGACAATGCATTCTGGCTGTGAAATATTTTATTAAATATTGAGTTTATTCCCAATTCTCTGCCTTTTATACAGGTTATCAAAATATCTGTCAGTTTTATTTAAACATCTATCAATTCAACTGTTACAGCTTTCTGTGACAAGAGCATTCCATATCTTCACAGACCACTGTTTGAAGAATTGTGACCTGGCCTCAGTTCTAACAGCTCTGATTTTAAAACTAATGAATCCCTCTACCTGGGAGAAGTATAAATCACTAATGCAGTATCTAAATATCAAAATACACATCCATTTTCAATCAAATATTTTAATCAAACCATCCCCTTTCCCCCTCTCCTCTTAATACAACTAATCTACAAACTTTCTTTAGAGGCTAAATCCCTTCCTCACAGGTCTGGAGTATATCTTTCCCAAGATTAAGTATCCAAAAGTGAGCATAACAGGGCTTCAAATGAGATCTGACCAGCACTCTATCTAACAAGATGCACCTCCTTACTTTTATATTGTAAAAGGCTTGCCCCTTCCTTCCCCATTTTCAGATCATGCTTGAAGACCTTCCAATTCAACTGTGCCTATGGTCACCTCCCCTGACTCAGTCATGTTCCACCACTGTCAAGCACACTGGGACACTACCCATGAGTGAGGGGTGCTATGTAAATGCATGTTGTTATAGTCCAGAGCTCTTGTAATAAATGTCAGCATCCAATTTGTTTTGATGGGTCCCAAACCTGTGAATTTGATTTTAATGATAATAATCCTTGCAATTGATGTAGCACTTTTCACATCTTCTAGCTGTCTCAAAGCACTTCACAGAACACACTGAAAACTTAATTGACTGTATATTTGTGGGGAAACCACAGCCAATTGTGGACAGCAGTGTTCCATAGTTGTAAATTGGAGTGACTAATTTTTACTGGTGTTTTTCTTGAGATTATAATCAGGCATGTGGAATAAGAAACTTGCCCATGGTTTTGCTCTGCCAGGAATCAAACAAGGTCTCTCACTTGATACTATATATGTATTTGAATCTCTTATCTCTCATGTGTATCTCCCAGTTCTGATTTAGAATATACTCCAAACTGATATTGCTTCAAGTAAACTACTTCACACATTGCAATGTTAAACTTGATCTGCTATAAAGCCCATTGCTGGACTTAAACTACAATCTTCTACTGTCACAACTCCTGTAATAAAGCCTTAACATGTGGCTCTATCTGGACAAGGAAGCTTGCCATACAGCACTTAAACTATGCGGTTTAAACACAAATATCCCCAATGCATGCAACAATAATAATTCTTGCATCTGATATAGTGCCTTATCAAGGCATCTCAAAGCACCTCACAGAATACATTGTAAAGTGAATCGACTATTTTGTGGGTGAAATGCAGTAGCCAATTGCACATAGCAGTTTCCCACAAATAGTTGTGGATTGAGTGAATTTTTTTTGAAGGGTTTATTACCCTAGAAAAGTAATTTACTAATCAACCAAAGCTGTGCATACTTACTGCTCAGTAACCAGGTTTGTGAAGTGAGCAAACTTACCCAATGTTTCACCCTGCCTGGTAATGGAACTTAGGTCCTCAGCTTGACATACTGGGGACCCTGACCCTTCAATCTCAAAAATGTATACCCAATACTCTAGTATTACAGAAGGTTACACACTACAAGGAAACTTATGCACGGTGAGGTGAGTTAGTTTTAAAAATGAGTTTCTAAGTGGGTTTTAAAAATCTTAGGATACACAATGACATCTGCTTAAAGAGAAATAATTTCACGTGAAATTTTATTAGTTAAAAAAACAAAAATGAAATGAGCAATGGCACCACCCAGTGGCCATAGGGCAAAGCAGCTTTTCCCTCCTTCCAATAGTTCCAAGTGGTATTGTTTTTACATAGATTTAACAAAAACATTGTAATGCTTCAAATAACAGTTGCAATTAAAGATCCAACAATGCAGTCTATGGAATTTTAAAAAAGGAATAGAGATTGTCCACTGGCAGTCACATCCCAATTTAAACACAAACTATCAATAAATAATTACAGTTAGTTTTACAACCAGCACAATTTCTTAGTGTGTTAAAATACTTAAATACCACAACAATGTAGTGTGAATTGCAGTATGTATGGAAGCTGGGTTCATCATGTTTAGCTACTGTCTTCATATATTGATAGGATTAAAACTAGATTAGGTGTAAGTAGAATAATGTACAATTTTAAATGTTGGGGCAGATTTGTTTGCTTCACATTCACCATGTTAGTAGACAGCAATTGATTGGCAGTACTGTACAATTGTGTAGACATTCAATTAATACTCAAGTTTCAGTACATCTTTAGGTCGCTTTAGCCAATTTTGCTCAGTTCTGAGCTAGAGACTTGGCGCTTGGCATCAGAAGACAAGAACTCATTCATTTCATTTTGCTGGTTCTCTTTGCTCCTGAAGATGTGGTTGGGGTGATGTGGCTTCTGGTTGGAGCGTCTCAGGCAAGCCTTTGCCAGCAGGTAAAACAACTCGGCCACATTCAACAGGATGCAGATCCCGGACACCACAACCATGAAGATGATGAATACAGTCTTCTCAGTGGGCCTGGAAATGAAACAGTCCACCACATTGGGGCAGGGCCAGGAACTGCACTTAACCAGGCGAGTCATTTGAAACCCCCCGTAGAGGAAGAACAACATGTAGGTAAAGACGCATTCAAAAGCAATCCGGAAGCAGATACTAGTAGTGTAGGTCCACCAGAAAGCACCGACAATTCGCAGTTTCTGTTTCTTCAGGGCCTCTGCATCATCCTTACTCAACAGGGAGCCCTGGCGTTTCTGGAGCACCTTCTTCTCTTCATGCTGTTTGTAGGCAACGTGCAAAGAGACCAGCAGGGCAGGCGTGGAGACAAAGATCAGCTGGAGGCACCAGAGCCTGATGTGAGACATGGGGAAGTAGTGATCGTAGCACACGTTCTTGCAACCGGGTTGCAGAGTATTACACACAAAGTCCGACTGCTCATCTCCCCACACACTCTCTGCCGCCACCACGAGAATCATGATCCTGAAGATGAAGATGACCGAAAGCCAGATCTTCCCAATGCCTGTGGAGTGCCTGTTGACACCTCCAAGGACAAAATGCAGTTGACCCCAATTCATCTTCTCTCTTCAGTGAAACCCTGAAAAAAAAACATTATATTATTTTCTGTAACTAAAAGAGCATTTCATCCCACCACCACCCAGCAGAGAAACGTTTAGTCATTCCCAAATAGTCTACATGGCCATCAAGAGTCCTGTAGCTCAGTGGTTAGAGCACTCGCTTTGCAAGTGAGAGACCTGAGTTCAATTCCAGGCAGAGGGCGAAACCTTGGGCAAGTTTCCTTACTCCACACAGAGCCTAATAATAATCCCTCCAAAACCAAAAACAATAATAAATTGGTCATTTTCAATCTACGACTGTTGGTGGGACATTGCTGTGCGCAATTGGCTGCCGCGTTCGCCCACAAATATACAGTCAATTCACTTTACAGTGTGTTCTGTGAAGCGCTTTGGGACGTCCTCCCGACGTGAAAAGCGCTATATCAAATGCAAGGATTATTATTATTATTATGGTGAAACCTTCGGCAAGTTTTCTTACTCTACACGCTTCTGTTTATCTGGCAGCAAGTAGGAATCTAGTCATCAGAATAACTTGAGTCGCTCAATCCATGGCGGTTTGCGGGACACTGCTGTGCGCAAGTGGCTGCTGCGTTTCACCAAGACACTCAAGTCATTTTACATTGAGACGTTTTGACGATGTGATAAGGCACTGTATCAAATGTGAGGACTACTAGAATAAGTTTAGCTAATCCCAAATCGAGCCCATGTGGCCATTGATGGAACCAGAAAGGAGCAATCAGTTTAGGGAAGCCTGGAAAGAATGCATCCTTTTATCTTCATCCCACCCCCACCAGCAGAGAAAAGTTTTAGTTATTCCCATAAAGTCTAGTTATTCTCCGGATTGGTTCTGAAGTAGAAGTAAAATGGTTTCACCACAACCAAAAGCGATTGCCCCTATAATAAAGCTGGAGTAAGTCACACCGGGTCTATCGTCAGTCGCACCTTTGAGCAACTCACACAGGTTTTATTAAAGAGCAATAAACCTAAACAAGAAGCACACGAGGAGCTGCACTACTACATTAGCGCACTTTATGGGATCCCAGCACACAAAAAAGGTTTTGGGCTGCCACAAGTCTAATCTTTAGTAACAGAGCGAGTAACGTGACGGGGAAGCGGCTCAGTCGGGATCAGAGGACAACCCGCACTATTGCGGGATAAGCCGCCGCCTCAGGAGGAGCTTTGGAACAGTGTCACCGATGGTGATTTTTTTTTTTTTTCGCATCGAAACCTCACCCGAAAGAAGGAATCGTTAGGAAAGTGGAGATAGGTAACAGGAGACGGTGAAAACACCTGTCCCCCAAAAAAAAGGCAGCACAGAAAGAAAGCATCACAAGAATATAACGAAAGAACTAATGGCTCGAGTGTGGGAATTGTACCTTTTTTTTGGGGCAGAGAATAAAGGCAAAAAACTGCTCGTCTGAAGCCAGATTTAAGAACCTCGATTTAATGGCTGGTCTCCAGGCATTTGCAGCTCAGGAACTACCACCATCTGCACTCAAGTGCAACACTCAGTGCATGTGCAAGACAGTGTACAAAGGCACAGCATATATATATATATATACACAGCAACGTGACCAGTCTTAAGTTTAGAAACGTGACACGAGTTAACGAGCTCAAGCTGCAATACACCATTTAGCTGATTAACCAGGTCCGCGAAAAAAAAAGTTTTTTTTTTGGTTAAAAAACTTTTGAAAAGTTTTCTTGGGAGCAGTAACCAGACACAGCAACAGCCTCTGCGGGGAAACAAGTCTCCGCAAAAAGTGGGACCAAGTCTCGGAAAACTGCACACAACACAGAAGGGCAATTCCTCAGAACTTCTGCAACGCAACAACTTAACCAACAATTCTGAGACGGTCTGTAATCTCAGCGTTTCCTTTTTAGTCGCTTTGTAGATACGCAATACTTTCGGTTATGAAATCAAAGCACTCGTTCAAATATCCCCCCAAACCCCCCCCACACACACACACACTCACACACTCACTCACTCTCCGGTTCATCACTTTACATCAGATGCGAGTAAAACAAACACTGATCTCAACTGAACTCCAACACAACTTCGCGGATGGGATTAACAAAAATACACTTCAAACTTTAAAAAAAAACTTGTAATTCCTCCCAGAGTCAACTACCAAACCAAGTCCAGCACCAGCCCCAAGCCCAGCAGCCTCCCAGCACCAACCCCAAGCCCAGCAGCCTCCCAGCACCAACCCCAAGCCCAGCAGCCTCCCAGCACCAACCCCAAGCCCAGCAGCCTCCCAGCACCAAACCCAACCCAAGCCCAGCAGCCTCCCAGCACCAAACCAAGTCCAGCAGCCGACCAACACCAACCCCAAGCCCAGCAGCCGACCAACCCCAAGCCCAGCAGCCTCCCAGCACCAACCCCAAGCCCAGCAGCCTCCCAGCACCAAACCCAACCCAAGCCCAGCAGCCTCCCAGCACCAAACCAAGTCCAGCAGCCGACCAACACCAACCCCAAGCCCAGCAGCCGACCAACACCAACCCCAAGCCCAGCAGCCGACCAACACCAACCCCAAGCCCAGCAGCCTCCCAGCACCAAACCAAGCAGTCTCCCAGCACCAACCCAAGCCCAACAGCCTCCCAGCACCAAACCCCAAGCCCAGCAGCTTCCCAGCACTAAACCCAGCCCAGCAGCCGACCAACACCAAACCAAACAGCCTCAGCACCAAACCAAGTCCAGCAGCCGCCCAGCACCAAGCCCAGCCCAGCAGCCTCCCAGCACCAAGCCCAGCACCAAGCCCAGCCCAGCAGCCTCCCAGCACCAAGCCCAGCCCAGCAGCCTCCCAGGTCTAAAAGACGTGGGAGAAGTGCAGTGAGAGTCGGGAAAGAATTCTCTCTGAACCTCGTATAAAGTTCAAGGAACTTCCAAGGTCGACTTTACTGCTCTGAGCGGCACCAAAGGGAGTGTGTGGGTAAAAAAAAAGTAAGTCGGTTACCGGTTGTGTATGACTGCCTTGCGATGCGGTGTAGAGCCGGTGCAGCCCCTGTGTGGGGCTGAGCTCACACCGACCTCACCTTTTGTGCACTCACCTGAGAGCCACACGAGGCGGTGCTGCTCAGGGATTGGCCCCGAGTCTGAGGTGCACGAGCGGAATGCGAATAGAAATCACCGCAAACTCAAGACTTTCTTTCATCATCAGCAGCGATCGGCCACCAGAGCTGGTTTTCTCATCATCATCATCATCATCATCATCATCAACGTTACAAAATCTCTTCAACAAAAGTGCAAAGAAAACCTCAAAATGGAAAAAAAAATTAATTTTTTTATTGATATTGAAATCCATAACCAGAGGATTCAGTGATATCCAGGTACCTGTTCAGTACCTACAAAACACAAAATAAAATCAATTCCACGTTGGATTTCTGTGCCCCTCGTTGTGTTGTGTGTTTGTGAACTCCAAACCGGTCCACATTTCTGTTAATTTGTATTTTAAAAAAGCTTAATGTTTGATATCTTCTTATTATGATGACACGGGGATATGAATATGAATCAGAAGTAAAGCAACTTACACTCGAATGCTTTTTGGGTTGTGATACAGTCTTTCATTGCAATGGTAGTTTGGATCGTGTTTCTTTAAATGATCTTTAATACAACGACAACAACAACTAAATTAATTTGTAAAGCGCCTTTGGGACATTTGGGATATCAGGAGGAGGTCCCAAGGTGCTGAACAGTCTGGGACCAGGACCCGAGCGTAGGGGGCGGGGGGGGGGGGATGAGGGAGGGCAGATGGGCTAGGAAGGCAGCTGAGGGCACAGTCAAAAAGGAGGATCTTGTGTCGTGCCTTGAAGGAGGCAAGGGAGTTAGCCAGGCGAAGGGACTGTGGGACTGAGTTCCAAAGGGTGGGGGCAGAGAAGCTGAAAGCCTGGCCGCTGTTGCTAGTGTGGGTCGGGCGGGAGACATGGAGCAGGCTGGAGCCTGCTGAACGGAGGGAGCGGACAGGCTGATAGGGGGTCAACAGGTCAGAGAGGTTAAGAGGGGGCAATGCCCCGGAGGGCCTTGAAAGTGAAGACGAAGATTTTTAATTCTATCCTCTGAGAGATGGGGAGCCATTGGAGCCGGGCGAAGGTCAGGATGATGGGGTCATGGAGCCTAGTGTGGGAGAGACCACAAGCTGCAGAGTTCTGGTTGATCTGTAGCTTGTGGAGGAAAGAGTTGGGAAGGCCGACAAGCAAGGAATTTCTGTACTCGAGCCTTGAGGTGACAAATTTGTGTATGAGGATTTTGGCAGCCTAGGGGTGAGGCAGTGGTGGAGCCGGGCAATGTTGCGGAGGTGGGAGAAGGCAGAGCTGGTCATGGCATAGGTATGGGGGAGAAAGGACAGTTGAGGGTCAAACAAGACACCCAGGTTCCTGACTGGTTTGGTGAGGTGGAGTGTGCAACCGTGGATGCTGATGCTGCCAGTGCCTAAGGTGCTGAGGCGCTGGCGCAAGCGAATCAGGAGGGCCTCAGTCTTGCTGACATTCAGCTGATAGAAAAATTGTGAGTGGTGTACACAGAGCAGCCTTCTGGAGCCGCCTCTTGACTTCACCAAGCCTTGCAGGTAAGTTAGCTTAGTGTAGCATGAATGATTACCTCGGTAAATGGTATCATCTGCGAATGAGTCAACGAGGAAGCCTAGTGACAAGAAAATCCAATTGCTATGAGAAGGTGTGTTGTAAGGAATTGGTGCTTGATTTGCATCATACAATCTCATCCTGAACCCTTTCCCCTAATTTATTGGGTGGGTAATGTAACAAAAATGCAGGGTAGTCCAGATTGTATTTCAATGTGTAAAAAAATTTCAATAGTTTGATACTTTTAAGCTAAGTGATGTTAGACACCCAGTTAACCACAACGGTGTTCCTTTTACCAAATTCCTTGACTGGATCAATTATTGTTAAAGAGGTATTGGTGCCATTGTGTAATTTGCATTTTGTTGTGATCTGTTGGTAAACGCTTCAAGCTTCTCTTTAAACTGCTGTACATAAATGCAAAAGGCAAAATACTGCAGATGCTGGAAATCTGAAATAAAAACAGAAGTCTCTGGGAACACACAGCTGGTCAGGCAGCATCTATCGAAACACAGCTCCCATCTTCGCTCAGCCTTGTCTTCACCCTCCCCAACTTCTATAACGATTCACACATTCTGGGGAGGACAAGTTTGCAGGTCTATGGGAAGAGAGTGGGGGAGTGGGATTAAATTGGATAGCTCTTTTCAAAGAGTCAGCACAGACACAATGGGCCAAATGGCTTCCTTTTGTGCTGTAAATTCTATGATTCTATGATCCTCTGAGTTTCAGACACATCTTTTCTTTCTATAATCTCCCACTATTGTCTCGGACCATCAACACCTCTGCTCTAGTCATCTTTTGTCCCCCACCTTTTTCCGTTGCCTTACTACGCCAATCTGGAACCTTAGCATCTTGTTTGACTCTCAGCTATCCTTTCTGCCCCACAATATATGCCATGACCCGCTCTACCTTCCCCCATCTCCGCAACATTGCCCAGTTCCGCCACTGTCTCACACCACAGGCCACCGAAACGCTCATACATGCATTTGTAACATCGAGGCTAGACTATGCAAACTCATTGCTTGTCGGCATCCCCAACTCCACCCTCCATAGGCTGCAGATCATCCAGACCTCTGCAGCACGTGTCCTCTGCAGCACCAGGCTCCATGACCCTATCATCCCCATCCTTGCCCGACTCCACTGGCTTCCCATCACACAGAGGATACAGTTCAAGATCCTGGCTCTTACCCTTCAAAACCCTCCATAACCTTTATTCCCCCCCTATTCCTACCTGGCGACATTGCCTAATCTCCTCGCTATACGTCATCACTACATGTTTCTGTGGCGCTTGCTCCCTACGTGGCTTCAATGGGTTTTTATCCTCCCAGTCTGGCTTCACATCCGCCGCCACCCTCTGCCCACCGCCCCACCATTGGCAGATGGGCCTTCTGCCACTCTGCCCCTAACCTCTGGAACTCAATCCCACAGTCCCTCCGCCTCGTCCTTTTCTTGCCTCCTTCAAGACCCATCTCGAGATCTTCCTGTGCTTTCAATCACCCTGCTTTCCCCCCCGCCCTCCACCCTCCCCGATCTCGACGCCCAGCTCAGGTCCAAAACACTGATTGTCCAGCACCTTGGGAAGTCCTACCGATGTGAAAGACGCTATACAAATGTAATTTTGTTATGGTTGTTGTTGTCTTTCTTTCCCAGCTCCCTTCTCTGTTTGTCCTGATAATCTGCTCCCTTTCAACATCCCCCAGTTCTGATGAAACGTTAACTAATATTCCTCTCTCCATGAATGCTGCCTGACCTGCTGCATATTCCAAACAACTTCTGTATATACGTGCATTTGGTTTTGATGCACACAGCCCCAAGGTAGCAATTATCATCCTAATATCAGAGCTGTTCACTTTCTGTATTTCTCAGTATGACAATAAGGTACAAATAGTAAGAAGTTTTTCCCTCCAAAAAAATCTGGTCACTTAATTCACCACACTGGGATGCTGCTATGCACAATTGGCTACTGTGTTTCACCCACAAAATACAGCCAATATACTTTACAATATATTCTATGAAGTGCTTTGAGACATCTCCATTACATGGGACGTCCTCCCGACGTGAAAGGCGCTCTGTAAATGGAATCTTATTGTTGTTGATAAGGCACTATATCAAATGCCATGGATTATTATTAAGGTTATGGAGTTGTAAGAAGTGTGTAATTTGAAATGATTGAACAATACTTCTTAATAGGATTCTTTAGCAGTCTGAGTCATGTGGTGAGATCCTCCTTTTCAACCTTGCTTTCAATCACCCTCCTTCCCCCCTTCCCTCCACCCTCCCCAATTCCAACCTCCACCTTGGGTCCAAAACACTGACTGTCCAGTTCCTTGGGACGTTCTCCCGACATAAAAGGCGCTCTACAAATGTAATTTTGTTGTTGTTGTCATCCCAATGAAAACAATTATTATTAAGAAATACCTCTAAAATAATATGGTTGCTTAGAATCTTGTCTCCTGTCATATTTGATAATAATAACTTGCATTTGATATAATGCTGTATCACTTTTTCAACAACAACAAGATTACATTCGTATATAACTTTTAAAGACATCTTAAAGCACGTCAGAAGATGAAACACAAAGTTCAGGAAAGTATGTTTAGATTTTAGT